GAATTGGTGTTGTATTCCCAGAAGGCAATTCTTACTCTCCCAAGGAGTTAGTAAGGGGTGAATAAGAATTGCCTCCTGATAAACGGTGAGTGAACTTAGGAGCCAGAAACCAAGAATGGAGTAGCACTCTAAGGATCCTCTAAATAGAATGAGAATGAATTGCAAGGTGTCCTATAAGGTCAGAGACTGGGAACTTCTGGCACATGGGTGACAACTCCAGAAATATCTGTGTTGGGTCCTGGAGTCAAAGGGTATTATTTTGCATGACACCTGGAAGGAGAAGGGGAAGAGGGGAGCAATAAGAGAATGCAAGTTCTCTACTCTCCCACCAGCCCAAGGGTTTGCCTATAAACTGTGTAATTGTAAAGTGCGGGCCCAGACCCAAAAGCAGTTGTGGTCACCTAAAGACTTTGTGAGTCCAAGTGAAACGAGAAAAGTTCCCTTGTCCCCATCTCGGGGGTGTGATGGGGCTGTGGCTCAGGTGCTCGACTGCTCAAAACCCCTAGGGGAGCAGGCAGACAGGCAGGTCGTGGGGATCGTGGGCTCTGACCCCATGGCAGTGTCTAGGGGTGAATGTTTACAGCTCTTGAAGCTCCAGTGGGCGTGTGTTACAGGGTGCTCTTTTAAATTTGCCGTCTGTAGGCGGCTTGTGTTAATCAGCTCAATTACACCTTCTGCCTTACAGCAAGGAAAGAGGGTTTTCTGTATCCCTGGGTTCTTGCCTTGGTGTACCAGAAAAATCGGATCACACGTGAGCTTGGAGAATAAGTGCAAGGTTTTTGTTTGTTTGTTTGTTTGTTTTTTGAGACGGAGTGTCTCGCTCTGTCGCCCAGGCTGGAGTGCAGTGGTGCGATCTCAGCTCACTGCGACCTTCACCTCCCATGTTCAAGCGATTCTCCTGCCTCAGCCTCCTGAGTAGCTGGGTCTACAGGCGTGCATCACCACGCCCAGCTAATTTGTGTATTTTTAGTAGAGACGGGGTTTCGCCATGTTGGCCAGGATGGTCTCCATTTCTTGACCTTGTGGTGCGCCTGCCTCGGCCTCCCAAAGTGCTGGGATTACAGGCGTGAGCCACCGCGCCGGGCTGAGAGCAAGGTTTTACTGAGCAGTGGAAGTAGCTCTCTGCAGATGGATGGGGGAGCCAGAAGGGGTGTGGAGTGAGAAGGTGGTTTTCCCGTGGAGTTGGGCCGCCCAGTGGCCGGGCTCTCCTCTGACTGCCCTGGGCTGAACTTTGCGGGCGATGACATTCGGGCGTCTGCTGGTGTCTGTCAGTGTGTTCTTCTGCCGGTGTCTTCCTCTGCTGGTGTGTTTCTCTTAAGGTCCAGCTGCTTGTGTTTGTGCCCTCTAGGGTTTCGGAGTTTTTACAGACACAGGATGAGGGGTGTGGCGGGCCAGGGTGGTGGAAAAATGCAATATTTGGGCAGCAAAACAGAAATGCCTGTTCTCACATAGGTCCGTGGGTATAGGCCTGAGGGTGGAGCCCTAGCCAGGGACCCCGCCTTTCTCCACCCAGCATTTCCCAGCCCCGCTCGCTAGCGTATCACTAGCAGAAGCAGCTGGCTGCTTTCCTCCCCTCGCGCCTCTAGAGCCCATGAAGGAGCTCTGGTGCTGGGCAGAGGAGACTCCCAGTGGTTCAGGGGCTAGGCATAGTGGGGACCTTTCTCAAGGGGCACTGACAAGGGCCTTAGGGAGTTTGGCAGGGAAGAACATGAACAAAAATCAACTGGGGCGGGGGAATGCCTAGAGTTCCTGCAATTATGCGGGGTGGAGGGTGGCTGAGAGTTTTTATGATTTATATTTCATTAAATATGATTTCATCTGTATCCAAAGGAAGGTGAGGCTTCAAACATTCAGTTTATGCATACGAAAAACGAAGGAACACAGATTGCATCTCAGCCAGGTCAGTGGCCAATGATAAGAGGATGCAGAAAATTCAGTTTCTCAGGAGCACAACCAGAGTCTGGGCAGCACCTCTGATCTTCTGCAGGGTGCTGTGAAAACCATGTGGCCTTTGGGAAAGCATGAGCTGTGTGCCCCTGGCTGAGGATAGTCAAGAATGGCCATAGGCCGGGCATGGTAGCTCATGCCTAGAATCCCAGCACTTTGGGAGGCCAAGGCAGGCAGATCACTGGAGGTCAAAAGTTTGAGACCAGATGGGGCAACATGGTAAAAACCTGTCTCTACTAAAAATACAAAAATTAGCTGGGCGTGGTGGTGGCAACTGTAGTCCCAGCTACTCAGGAGGCTGAGGTGGGAGAATTACTTGAACCTGGGAGGCAGAGGTAGCAGTGAGCTGAGATTGTGCCACTGTGCTCCAGCCTGGGCAACAGAGTGAGACTCCATCACACACACACACACACACACACACACAAGGCCATAAATGGTCCTAACTTTATTCTTTGTTCACGCATTCATTGTTCAATCCATGTTCATTGAGCACCTACTACGAGCCGGCCACACACCATTCTAAGTGCTGCAGATACAGGAATGAACAAATAGGATGTCAATCCCTGCCCTTGTGGTGCTTTCATTTTTAAAGGCCAACAGATAAGCTGGGTGCAGTGGCTCATGCCTGTAATCCCAGAACTTTGGGAGGCTGAGGCAGGTGAATCACCTGAGGTCAGGAGTTCCAGACCAGCCTGGCCAACATGGTGAAACCTCGTCTCTACTAAAAATACAAAAATTAGCTGAGTGTGGTGGCGGGCACCTGTAATCTCAGCTACTTGGGAGGCTGAGGCAGGAGAATTACTTGAACCTGGGAGGCAGAGGTTGTAGTGAGCCGATATCGCGCCGCTGTACTCCAGCCTGGGTGACAGAGTGAGACTCCATCTCAAAAAAAAAAAAAGCCAACAGATAATGAGATACACTTTCAAACTACATAGTGTTAAAGAAGAACTTTTAGACAGAGTTTGTCTCTCAAATAAATTTAAGAGTTTATTTGAGCAAAGAAGGATTCCTAAGTTGGGCAGCCCTCAGAGCCAGAAGTTCAGACAGCGCTGCCCAGCAACAGGAGCTGAACTCAGAAGCAAAGCGAGCAATCACCTGGTTGGCTACAGCTAGGTGTTTGCCTTATTTCGTCATGGTGTGATGAGTTGGTTGCTTGTGATTGGCTGAAACTTGGCTATTTGTTTCTCTCTCTCTCTCTCTCTCTCTCTCTATATATATATATATATATATACTATTCACTTATGTTTCAGCTTGTTTATAAACTAAGTTAGTTGGGGGTGGGGCGGTTGTTATGTAGGAACACAAAGTACAAAGATAGCCTCCAGCGAATGGTCTCCTGTTTATTTTGCTTAAACCATAGCCCATTAGACAGTTATGAGTTCTAAGAATAAATCTAAAGCACAGAAGGAGGATGGGAAGAGTGTTATGGGAGGACGGGGGTTATATGTGTAATTTTAGACGGGACGGTCAGGGAAGGTGTCACTTGGAAGGGTGGTATTTGAGTGAAGACTAGAAGAGGCCATGGAAAGAGCTCTACAGAGATGTACAGAACAGCATTTCAGGCAGAGGGCAGAGTATATGCAAAGACCAAAGGCAGGGACATGCGGACCATGCTGGAGGGACCGTGAGGAGGCCACTGAGGCTGGAATGGGGTCAGAAAGAAGGAGGAGGCATGAGGCCTGAGAGTTGCCAAAAGACCCTATCATGTAGAGATGGCACCATTTTAATCACTGGTTTTTACTAAGATATGAAAGGATGAGAAGGTGTCGAGCAGAGAAGTAAAATGATCTCATCTGAGGAGCCTTCCTTCTTGGAAGGGAGAGATTTTGCCATTCAAATCAGAACTATTCTTTCCCCTGCAAAGAGAGGCTCATTAGGAAGAAGTCGTGATGTGGCAAGATCCTTTGCATTTGGGGAACTTGAATTTTTAGAGCATCTGAACACTTCTCCTACCTTCTCCCTCAGTAGAAAATCACCTGCAATGAAAGTTCCCTGAAGATGTACAAGTTTTGAGTGGTACTCTATATGGAGTCCTGAATGCTGGGAGGAGTCATGTTGACCAGGTCAACCAAAACACGAGGAGAAGCCAGTGGAAACAAAGTCGACATATGCATAAACTGAATGTTTGAAGCCTCACCTTCCTTTGGATACAGATGAAATCATATTTAATTGGGGTTTTGCCTCAATATCACCCTTCCAACTTCAGACCCGAGTGGCGCAGAAGGCACCACTAAGAGGATACAGATGATCACTCTTGCAAGTATTGGACCAAATGGCTGCAGGCCCGCACCTGGCATCTGAGGAGACTATGATGAGAAGGAACAAGAGGGCACTTGAATAAGTGCAGTCCAGCCTGAGACTCAAGCTGCAAGACTCAAGTTGCGTTTTTCCTTTAAATGTGAATGACATCTCTGGGCCCCCTCTGAATCACCCTATGAGGTCAGGGACAGCCTCTTGTAAATCAATGGATTTATTCTCTAGGCCTCTAATCAAGGTTTTATGTAGAATTTTGCGGGACCCACAGTTTGACCTAGGATTGTCAGCTCCATTGGGAGGAGGCGTGGAAAGGCGCCTGTGGGGATACCCTGAGTCCTCCCACCCTATTCTTCCTCCATAGTGACTGGCTGCGGTCCAGCAAACTGCAGGAGACCCTCTGTAAAGACCTTTGGATTCTTACCCTCAAATAGAAGCCCATGACAGTACGGAATATTTCCCATTTCAAAAATTTCTTTTTTAAGGCTGGGTGTGGTGGCTCATGCCTGTAATCCCGGCACTTTGGAAGGCAGGGGAATCACTTGAGGCCAGGAGTTCATGACCCAGCCTGAGCAACATAGAAAAGAGAGAGAGAGAGGAAAAAAAAAAAAACAGCCGAGAAAAAAAAATCATTTTTGTTAGAAAAGTAAACCATTTGGGGATGTTGTATGGCTGATACAAAAACAAACAACAAAAAAATAGACTGTTAGAATTTAAACTAACGTCTGTTACCAAAAAGGTTGAAACTTGTCGTTATTGAAGCGGGAGTTGAAGGTTAAAAGGTAACTTTCACCCCACAGGTTGAGATTTGCATGCAGTATTTCCAGAATGTTGAATATCAGCATGGATCACTGCAAAGAAGTTGGAACTCATCTCACATGAACTTCTCAGGTGAAAAGGGACTTGACAACTGAGACTTCTCTAATAAGTGCAAAAATTATGTGGGTAATAATTTGACCTTTTTTTTGTTAAAGTCTCTATTGAAATAGAATGCGCAAATTAATGCTCTTAGGAGACCTGCTTAGAGGAAAAACAGAATGAGGATCATGAACCCTATTAACTCACATGTCTCAAGCCTCTAATGAAAAATTCCTGAGTGAAAGGGGATGAGTAGGATGCTCCAAGTTTAGGGAAACTTTGTGAAGCTCTCAAGTATGTGGTTTATAAAGTTGCATAGCACAGTCCTCAACTGATTTTTTTTTTTTTGTTTTTTTTGAGATGGAGTCTCGCTCTGTTGCCCAGGCTGGAGTGCAGTGGTGCAATCTTGGCTCACTACAAGCTCCGCCTCCCAGGTTCAAGCGATTCCAAGTAGCTGGGACTACAGGCACCCGCCACCACACCCAGCTAATTTTTGTATTTTTAGTAGAGATGGGGGTTTCACTATGTTGGCCAGGATGGTCTGTATCTCTTGACCTAGTGATCCGCCTGCCTTGGCCTCCCAAAGTGCTGGGATTACAGGTGTGAGCCACTGTGCCTGACCTCAACTGATTTTATAACTGAGATTTATATCTCTAACAAAATAAGATACATAGCAAAAGAATGACTCTGCCAGCCCTTTCTGGAGAGGGAATGATAAGTCCTCGAAAGATATTGTTTACTTTGCCGGCTTATCTATTTTATTCTGTAAATTCTGCACTCCGCCCCAGATTGGAACGCAAAATCTATTGTTCCATCAAATCAATTTCCCCACAGAATGAAGAATGCGGTACCCACTGTGCTTAAAATTCATTGTTATCTGTTAAGAACCCAACTCAGTGAGAATCATTGAGATTAAGAGGGTCTAGGTAGTTAAGGTGGAAACAATGTGTAGAAAAGAGATCCACACACTGATTATTTTCTAATAAAACTGTTCATTCTATCAGAAAGTGGAGGGAATTAAATATAAACAGACACATTTGTTTAAACCCAGCTTCATTACTATTCTATAGGTTGCTTGAAACCTATTCTGACATCAGTTATTAAATAAACTGTGATATTTTCACAGATAGGAAATAGGTGAGCTGAAGTTATATCCATATCTGCAGGATTATTCTGTATTTAATTTTAATGTTCAAAGCTTGAGAAAATTATATGGCTATAGAACATAGTCACGGGTTTCATGAGCTAGAAAGGCTAGCCAACGAAATGACTATCTGTCAGAAGTGTAACGGAGTTTTAAAAAATTAAAATAGAAAATAACAATGATGACCACAATGTATTGTGTACCTACTACGTGACTTTGTATGTAGCATACCTGTGTATCTTTACATATCTTTATATATATGGACTTAATGTGGAGTTTATTTCTAATACTTCCAATGATCCTGCAAAGGAGTAGTGTTACTATTCCCATGTTACAGATGAGGAAATGGAAACTCAGGGAAGTTATCCAAGGTTAAATCAAGATTTATCCAAGGTTTAAAAAAGTGTAGAGTTAAGATTCAAACCTGGATTTGGCTGGGCATGGTGGCTCACTTTGGGAGGCCGAGGCAGGCAGATCCCTTGAGGTCAGGAGTTTGAGACCAGCCTGGCCAACATAGTGAAACCTCGCCTCTACTAACAATACAAAAATTAGCCATGTGTGGTGGTGCACTCTTGTAATTCCAGCTACTTGGAAGACTGAGGTAGGAGAATTGCTTGAACTAGGGAGACGGAGGTTGCAGTGAGCCAAGATCACGCCACTGCTTACCAACCTGGGAAACAGGGTGAGATTCTGTCTCAAATAAAAAGATTCAAACCTAAATCTAGCTCCTAACCCTGGGTGCTTTCCACCAATGGACTCTCTCAATAATACAAAAATTAGGTAGCTATCAAATGGAAATTCAGAGACCCTAGTTTTCATAAATAAAATCTCAAATCCATAATTAAGAGACATAAATTCATTTCAAATGTATTTGTGTGCATGCATCTTGTCATCAACTTCTAATCAACTTTCTTGATTGAATTCAAATTTAATAGACTTTAAAATAAAAATGGAATCGGTTTTATTTCCTTTGCATTTATGGAGCACCTGCCGTGGTTCGGGCACTGCTTCAGACACCGGGGACGTGAAGGCCACGCCGGTTTCGGTGTCTGTCACTAACTCTTTAACAGCTGCAATTGTGGGCACTATAGTAGGTTTTCAAACATATTAATTTAAAAGGACTGATAATACAGCTGTAAAGTCTTATCAGTTGGTTCAGCTTACCTCTTCTAAATGCACATGACAATTAACCAATAATGCACAAAAGCATTTTATATTGCATCTTTGTTTTTTATACTTCTGTTATAAATTAAAAGTGGAAAGAATGTTGGATTCGAGGCCAGCTCTGCAGTATACCTGCATTGCGACTTTGAGCTTCTCTGAGCCTCAGTTTTTTTCATGTATAAAAATGGGGATGCTAGGCAGGCATGGTGGCATTCACCTCTAGTCCCAGCTACTCGGGAGGCTGAGGCAGGAGGATGCCTTGAGTCCAAGAGTTTGAGGCTACAGGAAGCCATGATTGCATCACTGCACTCCCGCCTAGGCAAGAGAGTGCAACCTTGTCTAAAAAAAACTTTTTTTTTTTTTTTTTAAATGAGGATGATGCTAACCATCTTACAGTGCTACCATCTGGACTCTTTAGCACAATGTTCAAGAACCTCCATAATCTCCTTTCCAGTCCCATCTATGGCTCTTTCTATCACTCTAAATAGCCTGGAATCCCACCTATTTGAACACTTTGCTTTTTGCAACAGACTGAATACTTTCCACACCTCCATAGCTCTATTTGGTTCCTTATCCAGGACTGCCAGCTCTCAGGATTGCCCACGGAAATCTCCTGTTTGGAAACCTCCCTGACAGTTCCAGTGTGAACTAAGTCCTCCCTCCTTAGCACTTTCCCAGCACCCAGCCCATATTTCCAGTATAGAGTTTCACTTTTCCTTCAATTATTGATGATCATCAGAACCATGACTTAATCATCTCTGTTTCCCTCACGGTACTCAATGGTGCTCATGTAGAATGGCCTTGAGAAATGCTGAACAAATGAAGGAATCTGTTCTCACTTAGCCTGGAGAAAGGGCTGGGGACACAGGCCCTCTTCCTCTATCAGACTCCATTCAATAATTAGTTCAGTTGTCAAAAAGACACATATAAAAAGCAATTTCAGTGCATTTTCCAGTGAGGATGTGATTCTCCACCATGTAATAAAATCCCTTGCAAGACTCCAATAAAGAAAGGATTTTGAGGGAAGATAAGCGGTGATCTGTTTGGATAATGCACTCCTCTCCTGAAAAGGCTTTTGAGTATACACATCCCCAAATATACATGAATATGAGTTCAGTTAACTCCCCATATCCATATACCTATTAGTTTATAAAATATGTATATGCCCTACTATATTAACATATATTGTAAAGTATGTAGAACTATACATACATAGAAGCTATAATTTTTTTAAGGAAGAGTTTTAATATTTTCTTTTTGCACCCCAGGAAACAGCCTGGCACAAAGAAAACCTAAGGTACTTCCCGGTAGGAGAAAGGAAATCGTGTTTTACTTTCTGTAGATTATTCCCTAATATTGACCGTTTCCTCTCTCTCTTCAGGTTCTCTTACAAGACCACCAACATGCTTCAAACGTTAGTGAGATAAAACAGCAGGAGGGTTTGGAACTCTGGATCCTCAGCCTGGATGTGTCACAATTTAATCCCAAAGGTTTGCTGTGAAGTTGTGAGCATGACAGCGTGAAACTCGACAGATTATTCTTGAATTCTTTGTTTGTTTTCGTTGTGACCTGACTCTCATAAAATTTATGTTTTCTTCCAAACCCCCAGGGTGTGTGGTCACATGATTTAAATAGAGAAAAACATTGTCCAAACAGTACCGGAGGAGTTATCACTTTTACATTGTTTTAATTAAAGAAAAAGCCTTTCTAAGGGGAACATCACACACCGGGGCCTATTGTGGGGAGAGGGGCAGGGATAGCATTAGGAAATATACCTAATGTAAATGACGAATTAATGGGTGCAGCACACCAACATGGCACATGTATACGTATGTAACAAACCTGCACATTGTGCACATGTATCCTAGAACTTAAAGTATAATAATAATAATAATAATAAAAAGAAAAAGCCTTTCTATCCAGGTCTACTACCATCATTTTTATGGGCATCTTAAAGTATCTAATCTAATACTATAGTTATTTTTAGTAGTATTATTTAGCATTTTTAGCTTTATTACAGTTTTATCTGTATCTTAAAGAAAAAGTCAATAAATATGAAGACAGAGTTTGCTTTGAGAATGTATGCAAATGCCCACCATGTTAAAATCATTTCAATTTTGTGTGCATGCACACGCACACACACACAGGGAGAAGAGCAGTGAATATCCTATTCACAAAAGTTACAAAGATTATTTCAGGGTGGTGGGATGAAGATTATTTTTGTTTTCCTCTTTGTGTATGTTTGTAATTTCTGGAGCATTCTATAATGGCCAGATTTTTGTTGTTGTTGTTTAACAACAGTATGAGTACCAACAGTTATAAATCATTTACCTAGATTCTTATATTGTAAGATTTCAAATAGAAATTTTTAAAATACCTTTTGGAGTCACTGGCATCTAAAAGAAAACTATATATTATTTCTAAGTTCTATGCTGCATTTTAATTGTAACACAATTTTTTTTTTTAGACGGAATCTCGCTTTGTCCCCCAGGCTGGAGTGCAGTGGCGTGATCTTGGCTCACGGCAACCTCTGCCTCCCTGGTTCAAGCAATTCTCCCTGCCTCAGCCTCCCCAGTAGCTGGATTACAGGAGTTTGACCAAGTTGGCCAGGCTGGTCTCAAACTCCTGACTTTAGGTGATCTGCCCACCTCAGTCTCCCAAAGTGCTGGGATTACAGACATGAGCCACTGCGCCTGGTGTAACACAGTTTTTAATATATTTTGGTTTCATGTAAGAAAATTGCATTTGAGGCTGGACACGGTGGCTCTCGTCTGTAATCCCAGCACTTTGGGAGGCCGAGGCGGGTGGATCACCTGAGGTCAGCGCCTAGCCAACATGGTGAAACCCTGTCTCTACTAAAAATACAAAAAATGAGCCAGGCATGGTGGTGGGTGTCTGTAATCCCAGCTACTCGGGAGGCTGAGGCAGGAAAACTGTTTGACTCCAGGAGGCAGAGGTTGCAGTGAGCAGAGATCACGCCATTATACTCCAGCCTGGGCAACAGAGTGGGACTCAGTCTCAAAAAAAAAAAAAAAAAAAAAAGAGAAAGAAAAAGAAAAATTGCATATTGCATTTTAAATCAAATGCTTTATAAAAGAGTTCCACTTACCTAGATTTTCAATACATTTTGTCTTTGAGACACAAAGAGAGGTAGAAGGTAGTTGCAGAGGAGCTTGTAAAATAAAGGAACCAAGGTAGAGCTGATGGGAGGCAAAAAGGAAGATCCTAAGTTGGGAGGTGTGTCTGTCTGGACAAGATTAAGATTCGAGTAAACCCCAATCCAAACATGTGATATTCCCTGTAAGGAAAACCGTTGCTGAGTGCCTCTGTGGACAGCATAAGCCCGCCTAAAAAGTCTTCTGTTGGGCCAGGTGTGGTGGCTCATGCCTGTAATCCCAGCACTTTGGGAGGCTGAGGCAGGCGGATCACAAGGTCAGGGGTTCGAGACTAGCCTGGCCAACATGGTGAAACCCCGTCTCTACTAAAAATATAAAAATTGGCTGGGCGTGGTGGTGGGTGCCTATAATCCCAGCTACTCAGGAAGCTGAGGCAGGAGCATCATTTGAACCCAGGAGGTGGAGGTTACAGTGAGCTGAGATCGTGCCACTGCACTCCAGCCTGGGCGACATAGCTAGACTCCGTCTCAAAAAAAAAAAGCCTTCTATTGAATGCAAGGAATGAAAACAGGGTTCTTTTTGATCAAGTGAAAAAGACTTTCTTTCAAGAAGTGAGTTTGGTAGACCTGGGAACTTAATGGTTTAATTAAAGAAAACACTTCTCCACACAGATCTGGCTGCAAGACCTGTAAGAACACTTGGATAATGCGATCAACCTTCCTTGGCATCGTGGTATGTGTAATAGAGGATTAATAAACTGAGGCCCCAGGGAGGTCTGTGACCACCCCGAAATTCTATATAAGTTTTATATCTGTGTGCACATTTGCATTTTTATGGTAACATGCATTTTTTTCCAATGGCTTTTATCAAACTCTCAAAGGGGCCAATGACCCAAAAAGGTTGAAAATTAATGTAATAGAAAAAGCATGAGCTTTGGATTCAGGGAGAATTGAGTTCAGATTTGTAATTTACTGGCACAGGAACTTGAATGAGTTGCATTTTTAGAATTACAATATATAGTTATATATAATTGTATATTTTAAAATAATATTTAAGTACCTAGTACAGTGTCTACCACATACTAGGTACTTTGTGAGTGTAACTATTTTTTTATATATATCTCATCCTATAAATAGTCTGGAATCCCAGATCTCCCATTTTTTTTTCTGGCAGAGTCTCAATTTTGTTCAAGTGACTACTACCCTCTCATATGCCTCGGCAGGTCTAAACTACATAAATATTCTCTTTCCCTTTGTTACTGACCCTTAGGCAACCTCTACCTTTGGGACCATGATATGGAATTCCCCCTGTATCTGCCATATATTAACAATGATTCACATACACATTTCATGGTATCTTGCTTAACACATTGCAAAGCCTTTCTTACCACTGTAAAACAGTACATGTCCTTGAGAAGTATATGGTAGCAGAGCCATAATACACATCTCCCCAGCACAACACTTCTCCTCTTGGGAATGCATGCCAACTGCTTTAGGAGTTGCTCTCAGTCGCTGTCTATGATCTTGACTAATGTCATGGGACTTCCTGATGTTCCCCCGTGACAGAGCATTCTGTTGGCTTGCAAAGACACATAGTTGAGGACTCACAACAATCCTTTTACACATCAAATCCTCAACTTGGGCCGTCAACTCTGAGAGTAGACGCCACTTCTTATTTACTTGACATCTGCTCACCAAGCTTCCTCGAGAGCAGTAGCAGCCTTTCCATGAGCATGACAGCCAGCTCTGTCCACTAGTTACAGGTAGATGCCTCACGGAAGCAAGGTCTGCGTGCCTTTTATAAAAACAAAAATACAGATTTTAAAAAAGTAAATACATTGGCTATGCAGAATTCGAATTTAGGCCTGCAGCAGAAAAAACAACATACTGACTTAGCTTTAGAAATATCAGTTCCAGGGTTTATGGGATAGCTGGTTAACGTTTCACTTTCTTTTTCTTTTTTTTCTTTTTTTTTTTAGATGAAGTGTCGCTCTGTCACCCAGGCTGGAGTGCAGTGATGCGATCTCAGCTCACTGCAACCTCTGCCTCCTGGGTTTAAGCAATCCTCTGCCTCAGCCTCCTAAGTACCTGGTATTACAGGTGCATGCCACCACGTCCGGCTAATTTTTTTTTTTTTTTAGTAGAGACAGGGTTTCACCATCTTGGCCAGGCTGGTCTTGAACTCCTGACCTCGTGAACCACCTGCCTCAGCCTCCCAAAGTGCTGGGATTACAGGCGTGAGCCACCGCGCCCAACCCTCACATTTTACTTTCAATCCGAGAGTCTATAATTTGTGGGTTCAGGACATCTAGGCCTTAGCTAATCATGTAATTTTAACTACGGAGTCTTCTTTCTGGGGATCCAGGCGAACTGACCCTTTGAGTTCTTATTTCATTCAATATCTGTATAAATCTGAGCCCCCCTACCACATACTGTAATGGGGTAGGTTTAACATTTCCCCAGCACCTGTAAGGATTCTCAGGAACCTCCTGCTGTTCTTTGTCCTCTCTCACCCTGACTTCTGTGTCCAGTAAACTCTGCCTCCTGCTCCCTGAAGCTGCTCTCTTCTCCATCCCCCACTTCCAAGGACCAGTCTCTAGGCTTTATTCCCCAGGTTGCACTAACACAAGCGCTCGTGAATAGTTACCTTTCCCTAAAGTCTTGGGACCAAAGCGGTCACATCATGGTATAGAATAGGCAGCAACTTGAAAATAAATGAAGACATCTCTATGCAAAAGTGCCTAGCCTATCTGTAACCCTCCAGGCATTTCTTCCTGGTTTCCCTCTCTTTGGCAGGTTGACAAGTCTCCTCTTTCTTTGACCCAGAGAATCCTCCTCCTACTGACCTCTCTTCTTTCCATTCCAAGGCTCCTTGACTTCCTCACCCACTGGAGAAGACTAAAATGTTCTGCTAGTTTGTTATATGAAATAATTTAGTTATTTTTATTACGACTTCTTGGTTCCATAGGGATCAGAGAAGCCAGATGTTTTCCTAACAAAATAGTATCCCATGCCTTGCCCAGTGGTCCCCTCTCCCCTGCTTGTTAATTCAGAGCAGCATTTTTTGTGTGTGTTTAAAATAACCACTTTGTTTCCTTCCCACTAAACAAGAAATACACTTATGGACCATAAATATATCCATATCCATCCAGAATTATCCTTTTTTAAGACTTGGTTCTAAATTATTATAGTCTTTTTCTGTGTGAATTTTCCTGGGGAACTCCTAAAGAAATAATCCCAAGACAATCAAACAAATAAAAGCTATGTTCAGGAAGATATTCATTGCAGAGTTATTATAATAGTAAAAATTTGAAAATAACCTGGAAGTACAGTAATGGTTAAGCAAATGATTATATAGCTACTCAGTGCTATATTCTATAGTCATTAGAAGGATAGTCAAAAAGACGTAAAGCAATAAGGAGAATAACTATGATACAGTACATTTCAAAAACAGGATGTAAACTTATATAGATGATGGTAGCAATCC